AAACAATATCCAACCCAGATAATTCGTCATTCAAATATATTACATCTAAAAATTCTATAAACAAATTCTCTAAAAAACCCAAGACAATAACTCCGTTTTATTTACACATTGAAAAACATATCAAGGCTATTAAATATAGAAACATTTTGAAGAACCCTGACATATCTATCCCCTCTTGGAAAATAAATGAACCTATGATAAACTTATATTTAACAAAATACAAAAAAAATGAAGAGCAGCACATAATTCAATCAATAATTAAAGAACATGTTTACCATAATACAGGAAGCACAATAATTTATACTGATGGATCTAAAATGAATGAATCCACAACGGCAGCAGCTATTATAGGCGAAACAGAGATTTCAGCGCACTTACCAGATGACACAAGCATATATACTGCTGAGCTCCAGGCAATCAACATGGCCTTAGATCATATTAAAAATGCATTTAATGAAACAATTATCATAATAACAGATTCTCTGTCGAGTGTTCAAGCTTTAAAACAATATAAAAATAATAATAACTTAGTTAAACTTATAAAAATTAAAATACATAAAATCGTTCAAAATGATTGCCGTATTGAGATAATATGGGTGCCAAGCCACATAGGGATTGATGGCAACGAAAAAGCAGATAAATTAGCTCTAGCAGCACATCAAAAACCAATATGCTTTATACAGACATAAAAACAATAATAAATAAATACATTTACACACTGTGGCAAAATGAATGGAGTTATTCGAAGACGCAATTAAAGCAAATAATCCCCCTTATTGATCAAAAAAGAATAAAATTATCTAATAATAGGTTTATGACATCCAAAATAAATAGATTAATGATAGGCCACACAATGTTAACCCATAGTTATATACTTAATAAAACTGAACAACCAACATGTCAATACTGCAATAGCAATTTAACAATACAACATATAATAGCATGCGAAAATTCAGTTACTCATAAATATCATAAATTGATTCCTAAAACACTTCATGCAAACTTTGAAACAAAAGAAGATATAGTTAAATTAATAAAATTTCTGAAAGACATATGCATATATGATGCGATTTAAAATATGGAACAAAACTAAGTTAATTTAACCAATAGATTGAAAATATAAACTTTGACATAACATAAATAAATTAATAAAGTAGATCTAAGTGCCACTCTACGGGGTTGGTGAAATTTGATCGGGCTATAGAGTCGCATTGATGCGGGGAAGAGAGCCAAAATATAGATAATACATAATTCGGCAAGCTGTGTATGGGCATCGTGCTGGTCGGCGGAGATGCAGTTTAAATGGTTTAGATGTGATCGGGTATGCTACCAATAGCACTGACGTGCGGGGTGAAGTCTGCATCGGCGGTCCGGTCCGGTGCCGTTGATTGACGGCTCGCCCCCTGTGTATTCGGTCTGAGATTCAAATAAATAAATCAAGAATGCACTAACGAATATGTCTATAATAATATGTAGAGATATGCATAAAAACATTCATATGAGAACACTGAGCGACTGCTATGGGTGGACCTCTTGGTGGAGGCCCGAAAGCCGGAGAGCAAAGCAAATTGAGATTAGAATTGAGAATCCTCAAGGGTATGTCGAGTGTTCGCTGTGGCGAGATTCATGGTGAAGGCTCAATTGCCAAAGAGGAAGGGGAATAAGGCATGAGAACCCTCAAGAGCATGTCGAGCGTCTGTCATGAGCGAACCTCATGGTAGAGGCTCAATTGTAAGAGGAATAGGGTAAGTTTTGAGAACTCTCAAGGGCATGTCGAGCGTCTGCTGCGGGTGAACCCCGGGGTAGAGGCTCAATTGCCAACAGGAAGGGGGTAATGCTTGAAAACTCTCAAGGTCATGTCGAGTGTCTACTGGGGGTCGGCATCATGGTGGAAGCTCAATTTCCGAAAGAAAACCTTTTTTTTTTTTTTTTTTTTTTTTTAACAATCAGAATCTCAAATGCGTGCATAGGGGGTGGCACTGGCGGTCGGTGCAGATGCCCTCCGCATTGAATGCGATTATTTATGGCATCAGTGGATCACGATA